GCAGGCAGGGAAAACTAAACTGAATGCTGAAAGAACGAAGGTAGAGTGGTGAAACACTATGGAGCCACTAGAGGAGGAAGACACAAGCCACTAGCTGGAAACTTGCTAGTAGGCCACAAGCCTGTGATAAAATATAAAATAATAGAAATAGGTTAACTAAAGATAAACGAGCTAGCTAGCAATATGATTAAGTAATTGGCCAAGCATTGATTTAAATAATATGGTTTCTCTGTGATTATTTTTGAAGTCTAGGTGGCTAGAAAATGAACAAGTGGTCTCCTACAACACACAGGGTCCTCACATGTCATAGGAGTCAATTCCATCTTGCCCTTCTTTTCATGTCTTAACTAACAAAGTCAGAACTAATTATGAAACTCTAATTTTCCAACAGAGCCCAAAATAGTTTGTTCAACAAGTACACAAAGAATTAAAGTGAGTGTGCTGAGAAAGACAGCAAGTATCCTCACCTTTCATAATGAAATATCGTCTCTAAGTCCTCCATAGGCTTGCAAATATATCTGTGTTTTTGAATCTCTTCATAGGGGAAGTTATATGGCTCCACTCTTGAGTCTTAATGCCAACAGCCTAAACAAACACCCCTTAGCATAAAAGTTATTCCCATAAACACAGGCTACACAGGACACAAGGCTCTTCTTGGAGTTACTGACTTGCATTGTAGCTTTTGAAGCCATCTGTTTTAATGAAGACATTGAGTAAAGCCTTCCTGAGAAAGCAATAAAATTAAGATACCAGTGATGATAGTATTCCTTACACTGAACCACAAGCCTGTCTCCTGTTTGTTTCATCTTGACAAAGTTTTTAACACCAAGAGTTTCAGGAAGAAAAGGATCGTTAGATCGTGTTCTCATGTTGTATCCTAATGCCCCAAGTTAGATTATCGTATTATAGCCTAGTATAATCAGTGGCTAAATTCTGCTCTAGCATGACTACATCTTTCCCTACAGGTAGCACTCTCTTCCCACAAGTTCTCCTAGACTTTTTGATGCTACAACTTAAGGTCCAGGGATGACACAACCTACATCCAATACTGGTGGTCCTGCTTTTCAACAGTGCTTCTTCACCAGAGGCATTCTAGCTTTCTGTTTTCCATGCATACCCTGCTCATTGGCTTCATCCAGCAGCAGGGAAGGCCACACGCTTCTTCCCAATTTCCTACTCTAGGGTTTCTCAGATATCTGACAGTCTTCATTGGTCATCTGTGTTCCCAAAAACCAACCTTCCTAAGTCCAAACTGTTCCTACTATCCATGAAATTATCTCAGACTTATTTTTATCAAAACTTAAATAATAATCAACTAGAATTACTTATGTCTGGATAAAAGTTTTTGAGACTACAAGAATCTTATTTGTGAAGTTCTTTATTAACATTCTTAAATGTATTTATTTTTGTGGAGTGGAGTCATGTGCTGCATTATATATGTGAAGGTATACCAGGACAGCTTGCAGGAGTTGCTTCTTTCCTGCTACCATACAGATCCTGAGGACAGAACTCAGTTCATCAAGCTTGCCTGCAAGCACCTTGATCCACTAAGCCATCTTGGTGACCCAAAGCGGAGACTTTTGAGCTCAATTATCTGATAGAAAATATCCATTGCTTAAAATTAAGATGGCCCAATGTCGGCTGCTTTTTACATGGTCAGGTAATAGCTGACTTGTCTCTTTTGGCACCCACTCTATCTATGTAACCTGGCTGGTCTCAATACAGGCTCCTCATTCCTAGTGCTGTAATGAATGATGGGTAGCGCCATGCTCAAACCCTCAGTAATTTACTCACCATTTGGTATGCACTTTAGATTTTTCTGCTACTCATAATCATTAAAAAAAAAGTTTATATAGCCAGGCAGAAGTGGCTTGCATCTTTAATCCCAGCCTCAGGAGACAGAGGCAGGTGGATTTCTGTGAGTTCAGGGTCAGCCTGGTCTACAGAGTTTCAGGACTGGATCCATAGCTACTGAGAAACCTTGTCTCAAAAAAACAAAACAAACAAATAAATAAATAATAAAATAAAAAGGTAATGTACTTCAGAGAAGCAAGAGAAACTGAAGCATGTGGTTTTTCTTTTATGAATTTTAGTGAGTTTTAGCAGTGTTTTTAAAATAATTTACTAGTTGATATGAATTTATTCTTAAAATGTTGTTCTTTATTCTAACCCATAAAATACCTATAAAATCCAGGAAGGATAAAAGAATTTTTTGGAAACATCCTCTAAATATTTACTTTCAAGAATATGGTTTGAAAGTGTTATGATTCTAATATGGTCAAAACAATTTTGTCCACTTTAAAAAACAATCTGTTGTGCTCCTATAATGCTTTCTTTAGCCTCTTGATTTTAACATTGTTTGTTTGGCATCTATAATGATTTTTTCCACATGGTTCCAAATCAGTAGACATTTATTTAATGATTAATTATAGCCAAGACCTTTTCTAAGCCTTCTGCTTTTCCTACCTCACTCCATTTTATGTTAGACCTTTGAATGGATGAGAAAAAACTCAGATTCAGTATATTAATGCCTCAGACAAGCAGATTTCTAGATTTGTGATGACAAAACTTAATCATGGTTATGGAAATATTGAATTATCGTGGGAAATTGTGCTACAAAAAGTGTTTTTGTTTAAATAAATAGGATTGTACACTAGTTTAAATAATATACAGAATAAAAAAAATTAGCCCTGGCAATCCCCATTACAAATTATATTTCTTGTTTTAATAAGTAAATTGAGGCATAGAAACTAGGTAGCATGTCTAATATAATTTGTTTAGTAGAGGAGTTAAACTTTAACTTCCAGCAGATAAGTTCCTGGATACATGTTGCTGTCATTGTTCTGAAAATGGAACTAGCAAAGCACAGACATGCCTCTGCTCAACAGTCACCAGGGGTGATGTCTTTTCACATGCCTCTCACATGCCTTGAGAGCTCTGAAATTTTCATGTGGCTCATCTCATTAAGAGGAACTATTCTTTATGCAGTTTTGCTCAGGCTTTAAAAATGTATCACAAAAGATGAAAGCCACTGCCTCCATGACAAGTCAAAATGAATGTTTGCAGCCCTTCTCCTTTGGGGAGGATGTTTCTAAGAAATGCATTATTTGTTTGCAAGATTGTGACAAAGCTGGAGCACCTGAGTGAAACATATTCAGAGAATTTTAAATTTGAACTAAAAAGCATAAAAACATAAATATCAAGAAATTGCTTTCTGCAAAAGACTTTTAATCCCTAGTTTTAATACTGTCTGCCTTCATACATCCTCAGCATTAATTAAGAGTTATTTTTAAATAAGTGAAATAAACCCTATTGATGCAATGTTCTGTTAAAAATGACATGAGAAATCTATTGTAACATGTTTTTCCTTAGTACTGTTTCTTTAAACACTGTATTAGTCATGGGCTGCCTCCCCCCATCCATTGTAGGCTGAAGAGGCAGCATTCATGAGTCTGCATTAGAGCAAAGTGTGCATTCATTTCCCTAAATGCAGACGAGACCTTCTGCTGCTTCTGAAGGTAGTACAGAGGTAAGGGAGGATAAGCCAGTGCTGAAGAGACGTCAGACCAACCATGTACTGCAAGGCCAGACTTGCATGCCCATGGGTATCTGTGATTGCGAAACAGCTGGTCCAGGGAACAGTCTCAGTGAAGTAAGACGCCAACTGACTTTGTTTGTTGCTGACAGCTTATCTTACCTGACAGCTTCCTTGGACTTCTAAGTTGGAAAGTGAATGAGCTCATTTGCCTTCTAAAAGAGCATTCTCAACCGAGTTATTAAACACCTTGTTGGAGAATACCTTCTCTTTGTGCAGCAACATTCAAACCCAGCAAGTTTATATATTGCATATTTTACTTTATTTGAAAATAGTCTTTATGAAATAAAGATCTACATATAACTATCAGGCAATTATACAAATATCAAAGGAATACTTTGTCTAAAATGTTAGTATTCAGGTGGTGTTGTCATAGAAGCTTCTTGTGGAAATATTACACATCTGTAAGCACTTTCCGGAGAATCAGAAGTTGAAGAAAAAGAAAATGACTCTGTCAATACTGACTAGGGATGAATCTGTTTCACCTCTATTCATTATTCATAATTCATTTTTCTACTGAGACAACATTCTAGTAACTTTAGTGAAATTCCATTGACTTTGACTCAGATGGAGAGTCAAAATAGCAGACTTTTATTAAGTGCAATGGGAAGGAGTCGGCCAGCCTGCAGCTGTGTGGAGCACTGGAAGATCATATGTCAACCCAGCAGTTCAGAGTCCTGGCTCTGAGCCCAGGTTTCACTCATCTGCTCTGTGACCCTGGGTAATTTGCTTAACCTCTGTGCACAACAATTTTTCACAGTCACAAAACAAGACTGATGACATTAATGTGTGAAAGAAAAAAAAACAGGGACACTTGACACTGTGATGCACAAACAGTAGACAAAACAAGTTCTTTCAAGAGCTACCCTTCCCTAAAGTTGTGCTACTGTGGTAAGTGTTCTTATCACAATAGATAGCAGACGGGAGGAAATGCTTGAAGATAGTGGGTATCTTGACTACCTCAACTGCTGTAGTGGCAGCATCATGATGCATGCATAAGTCTATATAGGAGGGATGGAGAGAGACAGAGGGAGGGAGAGTGAGAGAGAGACCTATATGGACATGGAAACTCAAGTTTACTGACAAGGTATCAGCAATCGAAGGAGGTTAGTTCTGGAGGTCCAGGGCTCTCCCTTATGGGAACTAGCCAGTTCTGCCTAGAGGAAAATGTTAGATAACATCCTTCCTCATCCCATGTGTAAATAATATTGCTGGAAACATTTGAATCACTTGATTATCCATGGGAGAAAATGAGCTTGCAGATGATGGAAGGAAACGCCTGAGAATATCATGGTCACTCTATTTGTAAAACATGCATTAGGTTAACATTCCCAAATATGAAAAAGATTCATCATTCTAAAATCCCAAGACACTTCTTAAATATTTAATAATAAACATGGGAAGAAATAGATGTTTGGGGTTACAGAAAAAATATATAGGGATAAAGATCATCAATTTAAAGACAAAAATACCCCTGAAAAAAGCTAGGATTTAAAAGAAGTATGGAAGGAAAATCATTTTGAAGCAAGATATTGGTGAGTCTCAATCAACTGTATAATTAAAATATCAGAATTACTCAAACTACTGAAAGAATCAAAATCATGCAAAAATAGAGTAATATATAAAAACTGTTAACCAAAATGATACGGCATATGGAGCAGGAAAAGAGCATGGCATCTTCTGTATGAAAACCCTCACGGAGGCCAATGGCATGAAATGAAATGCATTGGGTTTTTAATTGTCAAGCATAAAATTTATAAAGTTGACACTTCAGTCATATTTCCTTTTCAGAAACCATAGATTTGGAGGCTCCCTCTGGTGGTTGAATAATATACAATCTTATGTTAGACATATACAGTTTTAAGTAAAATAAAGGCTATTGAAATAAATTCCCCTAGTATGGCCTTTTCTTTCTCAGGAAGTGATGTCCACTATGACATGAGGATGGCAATGATGGCGACACTGACATGGGGGAGCATATTCAACTCTGACTCAGACTGATTTGGTAACTGAAAACAACCTGGCAAAATAAACAAAGAATATAATTAGTTAAAATAAATATTTTTAAGTGAACAAAATTCTAGAAAACTAAGTTAAATAACTTTCTGAGGCTCACATAGAAGATGAAAGCCATGGCCTCAACATTAATAAAGAGGCATTGAGATTCTTATTACTGTCTTCAATTTGTTGTATCTGTGTGTTTATTACTTAGATCAGTTCTTTATGTTACCACAGAGAAAAGACAGAATTTATTTTAAAAAGAAGTCATTCTGTGAGGGTTTCCTTAATGGGAATATTTATATATCAATCATTCTTCCTAAATTAAAAGAATTCTTTCCTATAAAAGAATAGCTCTTGCTTTGGCTCATTCCCACTGAATGGTGATGGACTCTTATATGTTCAGATTTGTTAGACAAGTGAGGCAAGAGTCCTTTGCTCCAAAACATTGAGAGGCTCTGAATGGTTTGCAAACAATGAAATGAAGGAACATCAGAAATTCCTAACACTTCCAGGGCCCTTTTTCAAGTCTGTTTTCTCTATTGGTATTTAAATGTATTAAGCAGTATTAAATGTAGTGTAGACAATATGCTGGATAGTTTTGATCCCCTTGACAGAAAACTAGACATTCCTGGGAAGAAGGAATATCAGTTTAAGGATTACTCCATCCATCAGATGAGTCTGTGGATATGTTGCTAATGATGTAGAATAGCCAAGCCAGCTGTAAATAGCCAGGGGATACTGGCTGTATAAGAAGCATAGCTGAGCAATTCACAGTAGCAAGTCATTCAATAAGCAGCATTCCTCCATGTTCTCTTATTCAGTTCCTGCTTCAGGCTCCTGCTTTTAGTTCATGTCTGGATTCCCTCAATGGTAGACTGTAACCTGTAAGCAAATTAAACCCTTTCTTTGCCAGTTTGTTTCCGTCAGTGTTTTATCACAGCAACCGAGAACATACTGTAATAGACAGTGTCCCCAGTGCAGAGTTGATGAGACACTGGATCTTATTTTCAAACAATCTTCAAAAGTGTAGAGTCTAGTACTTCTGCCAAATATCCGTCAAATGTCTCATGGTTCTTTTACAATGAACTCAGGGACACCATGAAAAAAATGAGCTACACTCATCCCTTCTTCATTGAAATCAATTCATTTACCATTTAGTAACTATTTTTTTTTCAAAGGGGAATTTTCTCTTTAGAAAAATTAAATTTTTGTTGCAGAAGCACAGGTTTTATTAAAATTAATAAGAGGGAGTGGATTGTAGAGCTATATTATACAGGCCCATATTCTACATGGTATGGCGACCAGAATTGCAGGCCACAGTTTGCACCTGGGCACAAAGAGGGTGGCCACTTAGCCTTTTGAGACAAACTAACAAGGGGCAGGATATGCTAATGCCGCCCTGCTCCTTCTTTGTAATTTGGGAGGTCTGCGTGGGAAAGAGGTGTTAATTCAGTTTACATGACCGAGCTGGCATTGATAGGAAGACATGACCAAATGGACATAGAAAGGTGTGGATGTTACCTAGGAAACAGAATGCTAATGAATTCCCCCTCAGTTTATGTTTTGGTAGAAAAGCTGTTTGCAGAATAAACACGGGTGAATTTTCAGGATGAGAACTCAGGATTTCATGAGGGATCACTGAAACCTCCCTCCCGATAAAGTCATGTGAGTTGTGTCTTTATTCCCATGCCTCCTGGCTGGTCAGAGAAATAATTTATGGTCTGGGCTGGTCCCAGACCATGACAAATTATTATCTCAGATTTCTAGGATAAACTTTCCGAATTTGAGTATTCTCAGAAATTATCAAACAGTGGTAAAAAGAAAAGACAATTAAACCAGACTTCTACTGTCATATATATTTATACAAGGTTACTGCCTATATATTCATTCTTACAGAGCCAGGACGATTTTAAAGACAAACATGGGGAAAAAGGAGACTGTCCTAAAAGTCAAATCATATAAATTGGGCTCCTTCTTTGGAATGCTCCCCTAGCTATTAGCTGAACGGTGTGATAAATTCTGCATAAGTAGTCATTGAGCTATTTATTATATAATCAAGGAGTAATGGTATTGAGAAATACCCCAAATACCAAAAGTTGCCAACTTCTACAGAGTCAGCCATCAGATAACACGAATCTACCCTCCAAGAATGTACCTTCGTATTTCTGTCCTCCTATACAGAAGAATGCTTCTGTAGGACACCTTTAGAACAATGTTCCCAAGAGAAAGAAGCAGTCTCTGATCAACTACATTTAGGACATGGCTCATGTTAGACCACCCCAAATAAGAATGAAGAAAGAGGAGGGAAAGGAATCAAGGAAAAGATAGAAGAATGGTAATGGCAAGGGTGGAAACGAGAACACAGAAGAAATGGGAATGAAAAGAAGCAACCAGAGTAACTGTTTTATGTAGTTCTCAAACACATCTCACAATAAAATTCATCTTCCTTATCCCACTGCCTATAAATACTCAGGAACTGCCATTTAACATGGCATATTTTGGGTAAAACATCTTAATAGAATTTGTATAAATGGAGCACTTAAAAGAATAATTAAAAGGAGTGCCTTTGTGTGCTTTTCAATATGTGTATTATAAATGTGTATATATTAATATGGGTTATGACATGCATATGTCAGATTCATATATAAATAATTGATTTTAGACAATTGACCATTCTTTTGTGTTTGTATAATGGCTTATTGATATATATTCACTAGACTTCATTTCTGTCTGCATATATTAGTCATCCAAGAAGCATAGAAATTTCCCAAGTTGGAGAGATAGCTCAGTAGTTAAGAGCACTTGCACTTCATGCAGAGAAACCCAGTGTGGTATTCCAGTTCCAGGGTCTCATGCAGCACATACACACACACACACACACACACACACACACACACACACACACGAGAGAGAGAGAGAGAGAGAGAGAACAGAGTAGAGAGATGAAATGAGTGTGCATGAGAAAGAGAGACAGAGACACAGAAACACAGAGATAGACACATACATGCAGACACTCACACAGACACATAAAACAAATATCCAAGCCTCACACAGAGATTCTGAGGGCAATACTTTAGAGTGAGGCCAACTCCAACTCCCAATATTTAAAGGGACCTAAGCAATCAGAAATTGAGAACTCAAGGCAAGTAGTCAGAGGGTGTCTCCCTTGGTGTCATCAGCTTGTTTTCTTCTTAAGTTCCTCCATTTGTTGCCCAACATTGCAGTGGAGGTGACCTTGCCATTCCTCTCATTCACTAGCACCTGGATTGATGGAGTAAAAGAAATGGTAGCAAAAACAAGCATAAAGAGACAGGCATACGCACCATCAGCCCCAGGCCGAAAGACTCTAAAGATTTCCCTCACTGGTGGTGAGACAATGAGCAGAATGCTTAAAGTCTGCTGTGGAGAAATCCAGTTACTCTAGTGAAACGTCTGTATTGTCCAAGCTAAGGTCTTGTCTTTTTCATGATCGTTTCAGGGCTACTATAAGTTAGCATTATATATTCACATAATGATTCCAGGAAGGAATATACTTGACAGCCCAAGCTCTAGATTGACTTCTTTCTACAGGGGACATGATTTTTGTTTAAAAGCTGATTTCTACTCTCCATCCTATCCATTTCTTCTACTGAATTGCTAGCTGTCCACTAGGAGTTAAAGGCTTTCTGGACTCTAGTTTCATGTGTCTGACTCTAGAGAAAACATGTAGCTCTTGTCCATCTCTTCCTTCGTATATCTAGTCCTTATTAAAAAAAAAAAAAACTATTCCAAGGCTTGTCTATCCAGAGATCGCTGAAGATCTAGGTCTGAACTTTCAAATGACAGTTTGAATCAAACCATCTCGGAGCCATCTGGAAGGTTGTAGGCAGTGTTGTTTGGTATTTATACTTCCAGAACAAGGAATGAGACACAATAGAGCAGTTACTCTTCTTGCCCTATGGCGGCCTTCTACTCAGCCTTGACAGCAAGGTCAGTGTCCCTAGACTTAGTTAGGACATTCTATCTTTTGTCACACTCTCAGCAGGCTCAACTCAAAAGCAATAGCTGAAATGTTTATACCCAAGACTATGACTCCGAGCTCTTTCCACAGCAGCAAGGAAACTATAAAACAAAACCTTTGAAATCAAACATGAGAAAAATATTCTATATACTATGAGCCCTCATATCTTCTGCAACAAGTCTGTGCCTGGGCCTCTAGACTGTTGATGAATTCCTTTGAGATGTAGGTGCCAGAAGCTATGCCCCACAGCGCTCGTGTCCTGCATGCTTGCTGAATCAGTGCCACTGGATCCCTTCCAGGTTTTACCATGTGTGTCCTCTAGACCTGTTACCCAAGTTGACCCTAAGGCTTCTTGAGGCCTAGTACCCTAAGTTAGGAACTGCATAAGAACGTAGGTGGGATAGTCCTGATAGACACTAGACAGCAAGTCCACAGAGAACATTTAGTCCTTTATTCTAGAGCCATTCTGCCCTTCTACATCACTGGGCCTCTGACAGTTTAAGGCAACCTTCAAAATCTCTGGACTATGTGCAGAATGTATTTTCATTATCTTGACAAAGAGCACCTAGCTTTCTTTTATTCATGCCCATTCAGTTATCAAAGGGTAGCTTGACCACATCATCTCCTCTTCTTTGTTTCCTTTTAATTATAAATTTCACATCTAGTTATTTTGGCCTCTCTACTATTATTGTACTCACCTACAAGAAGGCTGCGGATCCTTAAATATTCTGCTTAAAAGTTTCTTCTACTAAATGTCCCAGCTCACTGATCTTTTTTTTTTAATTGAGAAAAGGAAAAAAAAAGTCTCCCTCCTCCTCCCAGCCTCCCATTTCTCTCGCCCTCCTCCCACCCTTCTCCCCCTCCCCCCACTCCTCTACCCCTCCCTCTCCAGTCCAAAGAGCAGTCAGGGTTCCCTGCCCTGTGGAAAGTCCAAGGTCCTCCCCCCTCCGTCCATGTCTAGGAAGGTGAACATCCAAACTGGCTAGGCTCCCACAAAGCCAGAACATGAAGTAGGATCA